GTCTCCTTGGGCGGTGGTCAGAATGTTCTTGAAAAAACAGAGGTGACAGCAGCACAACTGCCACGTGTCACTCCACCATTCACTTGAAAATGTTGAGCCATCTGTTACTTTTCCACGGAGCCTCACACCTAACAGCCTCCCAGGAGAGCTAGGGGGCGAGTAGAGATGTCTTCTGAGAAACCCTTCCAGGCCTCCAACCTCTGTGTCCCTGGGGACCTAGGCCTTCCGACAAGATGCAGAGAAGGGTGTGCATGGCCAGAGGAGACCTAGTGGGATCGCCCTCTACAATTCTTGCTACCTCACTTGCCCCCCCCCCCTTGGGGCCCTGGCTTTCTTAGCTCTAGAAAGCCACTGGGTCTGAATGGAAAGAGGCTAGGTCTGACCTCCCAACCAGCTGCAATCAGGCTGGAAGAGGCCGTGGCAGGAGCCGGTTTAAGCACTTTCTGCTTGCTGGGGTATCCCTCAGGACACTTTGGGACCCTTCTGAAGCTGGGTGATAATCTCACTATACAGAAGTTGAGACTGAGACTTGGGGGGCCTGAGTCTCCCCAGTGGGTGCATTCTGGGGTTGGGGGAGGCCTGACCCTCTTTGTCCAGGGGGGACTTGCTGTGTGCCCCACCCCCCACATGCCCTTGTGCCTCTCACCTGCACACACTCCATCACACTTCACACACCCCCTCCATCTGTCTCACACAGCTTTCCATCTTCTCTCTGGCTAGGAAGCCAGATACAGGCACACGGGGTGGGGCCAGGGGGCCTGAACCTTGGAGAAGGCTCTGAGGGGAAGACCTGGGTCTTTCTGGGACACCCCTTGGCCGTCCACCATCTGGGGTCTGGATCTGACACACCAGCCCTCCCTGACCTAAACCCCAGCACACCCTGCCAGCTCTGCTCTGGGCCCAGAGCCAAGAGACTGGGTCCCAAAGTAGCTTCAGCTCTGGCTAAGGGCCTCCCTCCAGTCTGGGGCAGACAAAGCCAAGCACAGACATGCCCAGGGCTGTGAGGTCAAGGCTGGGCTGGGGGAAAGGATAGGGGTTGGGAACACCCAGCTGAGCCTGGGAAGGTAGTGTCAGAGAAGGGGCTTTTTGAGTAGGGTTTTGAGGAGCAAGTAGGAGTTCCCCTAAGTTAAGTTCTAACTTAACTTAGCTGGAGTTCCAGCTAAGGATGAGTGACTGCAAACACACCCAGTTATCTACATACCTCCTATGTACCTGACCCTGTCCCTTCTCCCTCGTTTGAACTTCTCTGCGGTGAAAGTCTCAGTTCTCATTTCCAGATGAAGAAATGGAGACAGGATGGAGAGGACTGACTTGGCTAAGGTTGTATTTTCTGGCTCTTCCTGTCCCTTTCTCCTCTGCTTCCTTAGTTTTTCAACATCTCCAGCCTTTGGTCTTAACCAGGAAAGGAAGGGAGAGCAAGGATCCCACGAGGGAGAAGGCCTGCTCTTAAGCTCCTGCCATGGAACTTAGCACACAGTTAGTGACATTGTACTAAGTCTTCTTTGACAAAAGCATTCTTTCCACCAGTCCACCAGGCCGAGACGATGTTCTCATTTTATGGAGGAGGATACTAAGGTTCCAAGTGGTTCCCCAGCTTCATCGGGAACACACCCTTGGAACCAGGCCCCGCTGTGACCTCTTGACTAAGTTTAGTCTGTACACAGGGGCAGGCAGGAGATGGGCGGGCTGGGATGGGTAAGTTCAGACTATAAAGTTTGGTCCTACAGTGTCAGTCCCAGCTCAGAGAGCAAGGAGCACAGCCATGCCTGGGCGGGAACCAACACCATCCCGTTGATCCCCGATGTTGCCAACGCCCAGGGGGCTACCACGGGAGCCATGCCCTATCCCCGGCCCAGGAGCACCTCCCAACCTTCCCAGGACCCTCCGAGATGCGATCCAAGCTGGATGTCCCCAGAATCCAGAAGTTGCCGAAACACTTCCAGGACACCCCGACCATGCTGCTGTTGACCAAGAACTTGAAAGACTCACTCCCAGGCTCTGGGAGGTGGCTGTGGCTCCCCACTGCTTGGGCTGGAGTCACCTAAGTGTCTGAGGGGTGCGGTCCGGAGCAAGTGGCTTTCGTGGCCCACATACTTTGTCTTGAGGAAATCCCTGGGAAAGCTGGTTTGGAATTGGGCTCTTTGCTCTCAAGGCAGGTGGTATCCCTGGGCTTTATAGGAGATTTTGGGGAACAGAGTTGGCTTTTGGCCTGCCCTGGAGGTACCTGGTTTGTTTCTGGGGCTCCCTTAACATCTCGGGTTTCTAGCTGCTCCTAAATCTCTCTTTCAGAGAAAACTTTCCTGCTGCAGGTGACTGCGTCTTCTGTCCCCAAGGGAGGACTTGGCCCCTGGCCCCTCTGGTTGCCTTCTCCCTGATGCCCAGAGTTCCTGTGAGTGCCTTGTCCGAAACCCCCATGACTGGGACCCCAGGGTCCAGTGGACATTGTCCAAATGACACCCCAGAAAGCAAATAAGACAGCTGAAATATGTGATTTCTTATGCGTCTTTGTGAGAGGTTAGTGTCCACCAAGGGGCATCTGCCTGGGGGGGGGGGTGTCTGCCTAGGGGGAGTGGCAGCGGACAGAGGGGGCCCAGAAACCCTGGGATTCCTGTCCTTGGTATGTGACCTGGTGCCCAGTCTGTGGTGGCTCTTATGAGTGCGCTGAGTTAAGAATGGTAATAGATCTGTACTGAACGTTCTCCTTCCTCACAACACACAGCCTTTGTTCTGATGCACAGAGAGTTTGAGTAATTTGCCTATGGTCACACAGCAAAGTGGGTGGCACTGGGATCTGAATCACGATCAGGGTGACACACAGCTTGTACAGACACTCTCACTCCCTGTGTGTTCTCCCTCCAACCCTGACACAGAGTGCCGTTACCACGTTTTACAGATGGGGAAACTGCCATCTGCCAGTTGATGCCCCTTGTCCCACGTGTCACGGCCAGGGAGAAGTGGGCCATAACATCAACCCAGGCCAGCTTCTTTGGAGCTGACAAATGTCCAATCTGTTGGGACCTGATCAGGGAAAACTCTTCACAAGGCTTTGAAATTTGGGGGGGGGGGGGGGAACAGTTGTAGATGGAGGGAACTTCAGAATCCTATCCCAGGCTTAGAAACGCCAGGGAAACAGATGACCAGCCAGGAGCTGGATATATATGAGGTCTCCAGCATGGACTCGCCCCTACGACCTTACGCACCTCCTTGTCTCCTCTTGGTTTGGTTCCCTTATTCAGTAATGGAAAAGTGTGTTAACAGTGTCTGAGGGCAGAGGCTAGAGAAAGTTGACGTCTCACCGCCATCGATCTTGCAAGGATGCCTATTAGGACAGCGCCCCCTTTGGCCCACCTAACCCCCAGGTTAGGTCAGGTCTAGCCACTGGTGCCCCTTGCTGACCTGTCCCTACCAGTTCGGATTACTCAGCACTCTGGCTCGCCTTCAGGGCCTGGCCTCTGCAGAGGGCATGGCAGTGTGGCTGTGAAGTGGCCCCGGGCCTTGTCTGGTCGGTCCAACCCCCGTTACGAAGCACTCACTGTGTGTGCCAAGCTGGTGAGGCAAGAGGCTGTCCTTCCCAACAGCCCCTGTCATGATCGAAGTGACAGGGGTGGGAACCAGTGTGTTTACAAAGTACCTAAAGGCCCGGAGCATCACGGAGCCAGGAGTGGGGGGACATTGGAATCCATAGCTGGGTGATGATGCCACTTCACAGAGGCTGAGACTGAGACTCAGGGGGGACTGAGTCTCCCCAGTGGGTGCATTCTGGGGTTGGGGGAGGCCTGGCCCTCTTCGTCCAGGGGGGACTTGCTATGTGGCCCCCCAGCACATCCTAGTGCCTCTTGCCTACACACAGTCCATCACACTTCACACACCCCCTCCATCTGTCTCACACAGCTTTCCGTCTTCTCTCTGGCCAGGAAGCTAGATGCAGGCACAGGGGGGTGGGGCCAGGGGGCCTGAACCTTGGAGAAGGCTCTGAGGGGAAGACCTGGGTCTTTCTGGGACACCCCTTGGCCGTCCACCATCTGGGGTCTGGATCTGACACACCAGCCCTCCCTGACCTAAACCCCAGCACTCCAATTCCCCGCCAACTTGCTCTGGGCCCAGAGCCAAGAGACTGGGTCCCAGAGTAGCTTCAGCTCTGGCTAAGGGCCTCCCTCCAGTCTGGGGCAGACAGAGCCAAGCACAGACATGCCCAGGGCTGTGAGGTCAAGGCTGGGCTGGGGGGAAGGATAGGGGTTGGGAGCACCCAGCTGAGCCTGGGAAGGTAGTGTCAGAGAAGGGGCTTTTTGAGTAGGGTTTTGAGGAGCAAATAGGAGTTCCCCGACAGCTAAGGATGAGTGACTGCAAACACACCCAGTTAACTACATACCTCCTATGTACCTACCCTGTCCCTTCTATCTCGTTTGAACTTGAAAGTCTCAGTTCTCATTTCCAGATGAAGAAACGGAGACAGGATGGAGAGGACTGACTTGACTTAGGTTGTATTTTCTGGCTCTTCCTGTCCCTTTCTCCTCTGCTTCCTTTGTTTTTCAACATCTTCAGCCTTTGGTCCTAACCAAGGAGGGAGAACAAGAATCCCGTGAGGGAGAAGGCCACCACTTAGGGTGCTGCTGTGGAATTTAGCACATAGTTGGTAGCTTATTAGTCTTTTTTTTTTTTTTTTTTTTTTTTTTTTTTTTGACAAAAGCATTCTTTCCACCAGCCCACCAAGCTGGAAGTCCCTATCTCATAGAAGAGGATACTGAGGTTCAGAGAGGCTTCTAGGGGGAGGGTACCCCTGCTTCTCCAGGAGAACCCCCCCCCCCAGAAGGGCCTCCCTCTGAAAAGCAGCCCAAGACTCAGCCAACTATGGTCCCCGGAGTGTTTACTCTGCACCCAGGGCGGAAGGGACCAGGCAGGCGGGGGCGGACAAAGTCCGGGGGTTATAAAGGCCAGTCCAGCAGCGTCCGGTGTCTCAGTTCAGAGCTCAGCTAGCTCGGCACAGCTGGACAAGGGCACCGCACTCCTCACCCATGCTGTCAGTGCTGCTGATGTTCTCGTGGCTGCCTTCGGGAGGTGCCCTGTCTCTGGCCCAGGAGCGCCTCCCAGCCTTTCCGGGACCCTCAGATGCACACTCCAGCATGGACATCTCCAGAGCCCAGGAGTTTCGGAAACACTACGAACACCTGCAGACCAGGCTGCGGTTGAACCAAAGTTGGGGCGATTCAAACTCTGACCTCGTCCTTGCAGCTCCAGTCCGGATACTCACTCCAAAGCGTGAGTGAAATCTAAGAGACCTCTGTCCCCTAGGCAGCTACCATCATCTAACCAGTGGTTCTGAGTCATAGGGGCCCAGGCCTGCCACCGAGCCTCAGTTTCCCCATCTGTGAAACGGACAAGAACAGCTCTCGTTGGGGCTGACGGGATGCTCGTGGCCTGGTTTATGCCAAGACGGGTGAGGCTTGGCCAAAGTGAGATGTTACAGATTGCAGATGGGGAAACTGAGGCGCAGAGAAGCCAGGGATGCTTCTGAAATCTCACAGAGCCTGGAATGCCCTGAGACAAAGTCTGGCGGCAGGGTGTGTGTGTGGCGGGGGGTACTTATCCTTGGATGTGAGGGTTGGGGGGGCGCACAATCCAGGAGAGAGGGTGCAGGGGAACCAGCAGAGTGGACAAGAGGGGTGAGGGGAGCAGAGGAGAGCAGCGCAGCTCAGCGGTAGGTGGAATGTGCCCCTACTTGTTCCAGATCTGACGCAATCCCTTGACACAGCACCGCTAAAGTCGCACGTGGCATGTGCCTTAGGGAGGGAGATATTCTCTCGCCATCCACAGAGGATCTAGGGGGGAGAGGGCAGAAGGATACCTGGGTTATGCTAGAAAGTGGGAGGGGTTAGGGGAGGAGTGTTAGGGAGCGTTACTATTCGCGCCCTAATCCTACCAGAGCTATGAGACTCTGGGTAATCTTCTTGTCCTTTCTGAGCCTAGTGAGTCCAGGGCCCTCAAACCCTAGTCCCCGCAGTATCTCCAACACCTGCACCAGCCTAGGGCCCTGAGAATCCTGGGGATCCAGATATCCTTCATTTTCAGATATGGAAACCAAGACTCACAGCGTTGAAAACAAAGTAGCTAGCCCCAGCACTTAGTAGGCCTTCAGTGAAATGTTTTTGACTGCCACAAGAGGCAAAACCAGTGTTTGGATTTTAGTCCCTCTAAATATCATGTAGACATTAATCCTGCAAGTTTTGTTTTTTTTTAATTTTTATTTATTTGAGAGAGAGAGCACAAGCAGGGGTAGGGAGGGGCAGAGGGAGATGGAGAAGCAGTCTCCCAGCTGAGCAGGGAGCCCGACATGGGGCTCCATCCGAGAACCCTGGGATCACGATGGGAGCTGAAGGCAGAGGCTTAGCCGACTGAGCCACCTAGGTGCCCTAATTTCATCAAGTATTTACTAAATACCTACTGTATGCCAGACATGATGGTGACCAGGCAAACAGAAATCCCTGAGGGGATTCAGGAGGGGAGATGAAATGATACACAATGAAATAAAAGAAAATAAGGCAGTGCCTATTTTAGGCAGGCTCGAGGGATATGTAGCCTGCCATGCTGAGTCAGGGGAATAGTGTGCTTGGAAGAGGAAGCAGCTTGTGCAAAGGCCCTGAGGTGGGATGCAACCTGGCGCGTGGGAGGAAATGGGCACTCCGCGCCTGGCGCACAGTAGGACCGTGGTTGACTCTTTCCTCTCTTCCTCAGTGAGACTGGGGCCGGGCGGCCACCTGCACCTGCGCATCGCCCGGGCCGACCTGACTGAGGGGCTCCCCGCAGCCTCCCGCCTGCATCGGGCGCTGCTCAGGCTGTCCTCGACGGAGCCCATCTCGTGGGACGTGACTCGGCTGCTGCAACGTCAGCTCAGCCTTGGAGGTTCCCCGGCCTCGGCACTACGCCTGCGACTGCTGCCTCCACTGGACTTGGACCGGTTGAGAGCAACGTTACCTTCCGCACATCCCCAGCTTGAGCTGCATTGGGGGCCAAGCGCGGCCAGGGGGCGCCGAGACGCGCATGCGCACGCCGGGGACGGTTGCCCCCTCGGGGAGGGACGCTGTTGCCGCCTGCAAAGCCTGCGTGCGTCGCTCGAGGACTTGGGTTGGGCCAGCTGGGTGGTGGCGCCTCGCGAGCTAGACGTGCGCATGTGTATTGGCGCGTGCCCAAGCCAGTTCCGGTCGGCTAACACGCACGCGCAGATGCAAGCGCGCCTGCACGGCCTGAATCCCGACGCCGCGCCTGCGCCATGCTGCGTGCCCGCCAGCTATGAGCCGGTGGTGCTCATGCACCGAGACAGCGACGGTCGCGTGTCGCTTACGCCCTTCGACGATCTCATAGCCAAGGATTGCCACTGCGTATGAGCGGTGCTGGTCTTTCACTTACAGCTCGTGAGCAATGGAAGCGACCTCAGAGATCCTTGCCTGTCGAATGGGCTTGTGGGACCTGAGATACCCGATTTCCCACCTCTGCTGTCTACTCCCCTTCCCACACCTCTGTATTTATGTTTGTATTTATTATTAATTTATTGGGATGCTCTCCGTGGGGACTGGAGGGCTGGGAAGGTGCGCACTTATTTAAAACTGTGGTAATAAAAGTGAAGGTGTTTAACCTGAGCCCCGTGGTGTCCAGGATGGAGCTGGTGACCTTGGGAAGAATCTTCCCCTCCTTGGCCTCGGTTCTTTTTTTTCCTTTTTTTTTTTTTTTTTTTAGATTTTATTTATTTGACAGAGAGCACAAGTAGACAGGGGGCGGTGGGGTGGGGAAGAGCCCTACTGGGGGCTCAATCCCAGAACCCTGAGACTATGACCCAAGCTGAAGGCAGAGCTTAATCCACTGAGCCACCTAGGGGCTCTTCCCTGGCCTCAGTTCTTACAGGGCACCTGGTCTCGGGGTGAGTGGAACCGTTCAGGAAATGCACTGCCGGAGCATTCTGGGATGTCAGTTACACGGTGCTCATGACACGGATGCTCATCTCAAGGACACCCTTCTCTCAGTCTCTGCTTCTCTGTCTCCTTGTTCCTCTGTTCCTGTTTCTGAGACCCTTCTGGGTGTCAGTCTCCCTCCATGTCTCATCTCTCAGTATTCCGGCTTCTGTAGTTATATGGCCCTGCCTCTCACTGTCATTCTGTCTCTGTCTGCATTGGAGTCACCTTTCCAAATACAGGCAACCCAGAGTCATGTCCATCTGCAGCCAAGTGTATCGTGTGTGATGTTGCCTCCAAGCCAGAAGAGTCCCATCACTTCTATTTGGGGCACCTCCCTCCATATTAATGGTACCTCTATTCTTTCATTTAAAAAGAGCAAGGGTGGTGTGGGGGGCACCACCTGTGCAGCTAGGACAGCTGGGAGTTATGGGGCTCTGCCTGTGCTTGGTTTGCACCAGTCCACAAGCAACAGCATGGCAGCCATCCCCTCTAGCTGCTCGCTGGTCACCACCCATGGCCATTTCCAGGGCTATCTGTGATCCATTTTCAGCAACAGCTCACACGGAAGTGTGGAGTACCCTGGGGAAGCCATCCCTCAGCACCCTGGTCTCCCCAGAGCTGACCCGGGTCACTGGTGGGCGAGCTTCTTTTTCAGGAAGTCCACTCTCCCATACATGGCTTCAGCGTTAGAGTCCCAAGAACCCTCAAGATCTCTCCAGGCCTCCAGAAACAGAATCACCTATGACTTGGTTCTGGAAGCCATGAGGAAGCAGCTCCATGGCCAGCCTGGCAAAGCGAACTCCCCACCCCAGTCCTGTGGCCACCCTGAGCCACCAGGCCTCAGGAGGCGCTGGGCTCATCAGAGCCCTTCCCTCCCCTCCCCCTAGACAAGGCTGGCTGCAGCGAGCAGAAGCAGTTGGGTTGTTTTTTTTAAATATCAAAACAGCAAAATACCAAAAAAGAAGTTGAGAGAACCCCACTCTTCACTATCCAAGCCACATGCATGCTCTCCTGACACCTCATAATTGGGTGCCCTCCACCAAATGGAAAAGAAACTCCAAGCGGTCAGTTAAAAAAGAAAAAAAAAAGGGGGGCACCTGGGTGGCTCAGTGGGTTGGGGCCTCTGCCTTCGGCTCGGGTCATGATCTCAGGGTCCTGGGATCGAGCCCCGCGTCAGGCTCTCTGCTCGGCAGGGGAGCCTGCTTCCCTCCTCTCTCTCTCTGCCTACTTGTGATCTCTGTCTGTCAAATAAATAAATAAAAATCTTAAAAAAAAAAAAAAAGAGGAAATAGATACATTGTGAAGAACATTTTCATGCACATGGCATCTCCCATTTTATCTAGTCTTCCTACTTAGGATCTTGGAATCCCCGAGATGTGCCAGGTCCTCCCCCTCCCCACACCCACCTGCCTGTCCACCCTGAGAATCTCGGAAGGGAAAGGTTATGGGGCCTGGGAGACGTGCTTGCAGCCATGAGAGGTGTGTAGCCTGTGAATGCTGCCACCCAGAGGCAGACCTGAATGATTGTAAGTACCCCTGAATGTATTCAGCGAATGACAGCTTTGTGCCAGACCTTGACTGGGCACTCAGGACACAGGAGGAACAAGACAGGCAAAAGCATTCCATCTGAGCCAGTTGAGTGAGGAAGACAAGTGAGTACAAAGAGAAATACTAAGAAGGTGGTGGATTGCGGTAGGATTTGTGCTGAGGAGTCAACCCAGGGAATGCATTAATGTGTGGAGAAGAGGTGATGTAGATGCTGGGGGGGGGGTGACATCTGAACTGAGACCTGGAGGAAGAATAGGACTTGGGGGACAGGTGGGGAATGGGCCTTTGTGGAAGTCAGAACAGCAGGTGCAAAGGCCCTGGGGTGAAAATGAGCTCAGTGTTCAGAGACAAAACTGTTGAAGATGGGGCCAGTGGGGTGGGTGGGAGCCAGAATCCACCAGTGGTGGTGAGGGGTGTGGGTGTGTTTGAAGAGCCAAGGGTAGATGTGAAGAGTTGGGAGCTGGGGAGGGCTGGGATCTGATTTACCCTGGAGGTGAAGAAGGCAAATGATCAGGGACAGTAGCGGGCATTAGAACAGTGTCTAGGGTGGGGATGCAGGGGTTCAAGGAAGCTAAAGACCCTTACAGGTTCCCTCTCCCACCTCAGATCATTCCCAAGTGCTGGGGAACCCAAGAAAGCCTCAAAATTAAGCTCAATCCCAGGGTCCCCCAAAGCTAACAGAGGCCCTGTAAGCATCTCCCCAAATATCGGCTGTTGCCTTTGCCGAACATTGTTATACCCATGTGCTTTTTGTATCTCTAGTTGCAACTTACCCAGCTGGTCCCCCTGCCCAGTATTCGTGTCCTCTCCACTTCTCAAACACACATCCTTCAAAACCCACTCCATGTTTCCTTCTTATGCACAGCCTTTTCCAAACTCTTTCGTTTGTCTCCCTCTGGAGCCCTTGGCCCCATCCCTCCCTCCAGCCCAGGCTTAACCTTTCAGGACCAAGAGTGTCTGTGTCCAGCTGTCTCGCCTAGACTGGAGGATTGGCAGGAGCCAGGCTGGGAGCCCCTGACAGGAAACCCAGCTGAGGCATGAGTTTGGAAAAAAGTCTTGAAATACACAGAGCTCTGGGAGTGATTAACTCTGCCTGAGGAGGAACTGAGAAAGGCCTCAGTAGAGTGGCATTGAATCTGGCCTTGAAGGATGAGTTAAGACATCTCAGCTTATTAAGCTAAAACAGCTACAGCGACTAATTGCCTTGTTGTACAGATGGGGAAACTAAGGGCCTGTTAATGGCAGAGTCCAGACTTGGATGGACCCATGCTTCCTGACACTCAGACCAGCGTTCTGCTTCTGTATTAAGATGTTTAACAGGGGCGCCTGGGTGGCTCAGTGGGTTAAAGCCTCTGCCTTCGGCTCAGGTCATGATCCCAGGGTCCTGGGATTGAGCCCCACATCGGGCTCTCTGCTCAGCAGGGAGCCTGCTTCCCTTCCTCTCTCTCTCTGCCTGCCTCTCTGACTACTTGTAATCTCTATCAAATAAATTAAAAAAAAATCTTAAAAAAAAAAAAGATGTTTAACAGTGAGAAAAAATGGAAGGGGATGGCATTCTGGGCAAAAGGAATGGCATGGGCAAATGGAAATTTCAGAAGTGAGGTGGGCTGGGTGTTGAGGAGGCCTAGACCAGAAGGACAGAAGGATGGAAGAGCGTAGTGATAGTGAGGTGAGTAGGGCAGAATTGCGCAGGCCTCAACCACCAGGCTGAAGTCCTGGGGGGTAATGGGGAGCCACGGAGGGTGTGTGAGCAGGGAAGGGGCACAGTCCCATTCATAAGTTATAATGATCCCTTGGGGCTGGTGTGGGCTGCCCTGGGAGCTGAGCCGGGGTACCAAGTGGCAGGGAACAGGGCCTGAAAGGGACAGAGGGGACGGACCAAGAGTGGGGAACAATTCGGGAATCTCTCAGAGAACCTGGTTTGGGGAGCTTAGGGAATCCCCACCTCAAAGAACCCATTTGCCCTGAGCCAGCAGCTTTGTGAGCCCTACAGCATTTATTAAGCTTGGTCTGCACACCAAGGGTGATGACAGAGTTCATGAACTGACCCTCCTGTCGCCATACCGGAGCCTCTCCTCTTCCCCTTCCAGCAGCTTAGGGAGCTGAGAAGCAGAGCAGGGGCTAGAGAGGGAGCTGAAGAACCTCCCTGGGGCCTCAGCGACGGTCCTTCCCTGTCCCCATTCCTCAGGTGGGAAGACTGAGGCCAGGGAAGAGTCAGAATGCCTGAAGTCACATAGAAGGCAGCAGGCTGGAGTTCAGGGCATCAGCTCAGCGCCCAGGGATCACATACTCCTCCTCATCCAGCGGAGTCTTGCGCAATGACTGAAGGTTGCAGTAGACAGGCTGGGAGGCATGGTCGGGGCCCTCGTAGTTCATGTAGAAGTCGCTGTCCTCTGATGGGTGAGCCCTGGGGAGATGGATAGACAGGAGGAGAGGGGGCTCTCAGGGGGTAGGCACGTCAGCTTTGAGAGGCAAAGAAAGCTCTGGGCGCCTGAGTCCCCTCCTAGTATTTACATAGGAGGAAACTGAGGCACATGGCAGTATTCTCCCGGCCTCCCAACTTTGTCTGAGGAAAAGAGGTGGGGTCCAGGGATTCAGGGAAGATTCCATGGATTTAGCATTGTAATGCTCTGGTCCGAGGACCTCAGGCCCATGGTCGAATTGTTTCCATCCTTAAAGTTGAGATAGTTGCTCACTTTTTACATTAAAGTCTAGATTTTTTTTTTTTTAATCTTAACTCTAATTTTTCAGTTTCTTTTTCAAAAATCAGAAGCTCTGGTCACACCAGACACATGGACACAGTGGCTAGGGCCAAACCAGTGCCCTTTCAGCTGGGAGTTGTTTTCATTAGATTCTCTAAAACAAGAGTCTTTGTGACCTCAATACAAAAACAAATTGGAGGGCGCCTGGGTGGCTCAGTGGGTTATGCCGCTGCCTTCGGCTCAGGTCATGATCTCAGGGTCCTGGCAGGGATCCTGCTTCTCTCTCTCTCTCTGCCTACTTGTAATCTCTCTGTCAAATAAATAAAATCTTAAAAAAAAAAAAAAAAAAAGAACAAATTGGAGTCTTAGTTTCTGAACCCATAGAATTGGTCTAAGAGGAGATAGCTTCTTAGTGATGTCTCATTGTGTATGGTAGAGAAAAGCAGCCTTTTAACTCCTCTCCCCTCACCCCAAAAAATCCCCTACTTCTAGAACATTCTAACTCTACTCTCTATTGGGCAAGTGGTATCCATCAGCTACTCAAGTTTAAAGGAAAAAAAAAAACAACCTCAAACACATAAAACCTTATTCACAGATAATCACACTTGTCTCACATTTACTATGAATTTGGGCCAGTCACTCCCCTGCCTCCCAGAGCCTCCATTGGTACAAGTAGGGTGAGAATGACAGATCCTGTTCTAAACAATGCCTTTGGTGGAGACTGATCCTGAGGCTTTGGTGACATTGAGGCAGAAGTGAGCATCATAGCCCAAGACCCCTTAGGGAGATGAGTGTATTCACCCTCCTACAGGCCACTTCTGCCTTTGAGCCCTATTTGCATCTGCTTTGCATATTCTCTCATTTCTTACCCACAGCTTCCCACCAGCCTCCCCACTTTGTAAATTCCCCTACCCACACCCATCCATGACTCTGTTCCATTCCTGCCTGGATTCTCCCAGGCCCCTCTAGCCTCAGCTCTCAGGTCTTGCCTTCTCAAACTGATTCACAGAAGAGTCTCCATTCTCTCCCACCTCCAGGCCTTCACCCCTGTGGGGGCTGCCTCCTGCAGCAATCCCTTTCATTCCCTCACCCAACCTGGAAAAGCTGAAGCCATCCATCTAAGTCCAGCCAAGTCTAGAGGTATCAGGGCTTTGTGGGGGAGAGGACACAGCTTTCTGAGCCTCTCAAGTGTCAAAGGGATATGTGGAAAGGGGAGCTGTCCCCATTTTACAGAGACTGAAAGAGAGGCTCAGAGATAGCCCTCGGTCACACAGGATCTGAGCCCAGGCCACCGACTACTTCTGCAAAGCCCCTACTCTGCCTAGAACACTTGCTTCCTCTCTCCCCATCCTTGGCCACCAGAAACTCAAGTTTGCAGGTCACGAAGGAGGAAACTTGTCTCATATACAGGAACTCGCTTAATTCTTATCCCAACTCTATTAGGTGGGGGCTGTTATTATCCCCATTTTACAGATAAGAAAACGGAGGCCCTGAGGTAAATCGACTGGCCCAAGGTCACACAGCTTACAAGAGGTGGCACCAGGATTTGAACCCTGGCCATCTGGTTCCAGAGTCTTACAGACAGATCTGAATAACTCACCCATGTTCGGCCCACTGGTGCCCGGCAGCTGGCTGGCCCACGAACACATTCTCATAGTCGGGGGTGCAGGGTCTGGGCACGGCAGCTGCTGGGGGCTTAGGGCTGAGGCCCCGGCTACTGTATCTCGGCTGCTTGCCAGAGCCAGACCGAGAACCATCCTGAGCAGCCCTTGTTTTGTTCACGTCCCGTTTACTGATCCTCCCACGGCCCCAGAGTCTCCAGGCCAGCACTAGGCCAGCAATGGTGAGCCCCAGGAGCAGACATCCACTGGCCACCAGTGCCCCGATGACCGGTAAGGACAGGCCAGGGGGGCAGCCAGCCTCCAGGAAGGAAGAGACATTGTGCCAGCCACCAGTAGCTGTGTCCCGGCACTGGAGAGGTAGCCAGCCAGAGCAGTTGTCCTGTCGGATCTGGTGCCAGGATTCTAGGACACAGCTGCAGTCAGCCTTCAGGTCAAGCGTACAGCGCAGGGCCAGCTCCCCATCCACACTGTCCAGTGGGTTGTTCGTCACATCCAGGACACTCAGGTTTCCCAGCAGTTTAAAGAAGAGCGGTGGTAGCTCTCGAAGACCATTCCCAGACAGGATAAGGTGGAGCAGGCTCCTGGCCTGCAGAGACTGGTTCTGGGGCAGTCTGAGGCCTTGGCCACTGAAATTCAGGCATGTGTCTTTGAACTCTGTGTTCCAGTCCATGTTTCCAGATGACACGTTGCAGGAAAATGCTTGGCTGCCTGGATCCTGCAGCAGCAGTGGCAACAACAGCATCCACGCCAGGGAGCCCCCCATTCAAGCAACCTAGGCAGAGACACCAGAATCCAGGCCCGGACCTTAGCCTGTGGTCACCTCACCCTAACTGCCTGTGTTTTGTTATTATTATCATCTCAGAGTGGCCCAGGCTGCTTCTGAAATGGTAAAACGAGGGGCCCTCGCTTGGCGCCCCACTCGTTGGCTCTGGCCTCTGGCCTCAGTCGCCCCCTCCGGGGAATGGGTACGGAATCCCGGTGCCTGATGGTGCTGGAAAGCAGGAAAACCCGGCCCAGTCAGCCCCTCCCCTTCTCCCAATGGAGTCCCTTCTGGTTAAGTCTCCCCTTCCCCCCCCACCCCCCATCACGAATATTTCAGGCGCCCTCATTGGCCAAGACGGGACCATATGCAAAATAAGAGGTTGCCCCGGAAACGGCCTGCAGGGGGCCGCGCTAATTGTTTCTCGCAGAACTGCGTGGTTCTGGGAGTCTCGGGCTGGGGTCCGACGGGGCTGCCGTAAGGAAGCCCCTCCAGTCTGGCTTGAGGTCCCTTCCCGGACCCAAGTTCTAGCGCGTCCCTTCTGGTCCCACTGCCACGCTCTTGCCTCGGCGGTGCTGGAAGGATCTGGGGCGGGAGGGGCTGCGTGGTGGCTCACCTGGACGTGGGGCAGAAGTGGTATGCACCCTCCGCGGATCCGCTGTGGTCCGGGGTTCTCAGGATCTGCACCCAGCGACTCAGGGAAGAGGAACTGGTGTCCGGGTGCAATGCTGAGGGGAAGAATGAAGACACTGAGACCCGCCCCCCTTCAAGGCCTGAGGCCCAGGATTCTCACGGGAGGGGGAGGGGCGACCTGCTTCTCTTTTGCTGGAACCCAGTGACTAAATGTCCCCCATTAATACCCCAACCAACCGACTGCTACCTCATCAACTCGCTTCCTGGTGTCAGCTCAGTTGACGCCCAGCCCGTGCATTCTGTGTTCATTCTACAATCACCCAGGGTGGACTTCCAAAAGGCCTCTGTAGGCCAGGTTCTGCGGGAGCACCCAATCCTCGGAGCAGACAGAGCTAGACACAGACCAGACACACCCTGTCCAGTGGAGTCAATCAGGTCCGAGAGAGGGACAGAGTCCTGGAAGGCTTCCTGGAGGAGGAAGCATTAGAATTGGGGCTTCAACACGTGAGTGGTGTTTTGCTGAGGATTCCTAAAACCTGCCTTTGACTCTCCAAGCTGCTAGCCTCCCCCACAGACTCAGAGCTCCTGTTCTGGTACATGGATGCCTCCATGCTGGAGTGGGCTGTGAGGAGGGTGCCCTGGGGAAGGAGACGGTTGAGTCTGGGGCTTGGAGGATGAGTCACATGGTAGCTGACAGAAACAAATGCAAGGAAGATTCCAGGCAGAAGTACAACAGGAGCAAAGCCCCCACAGCTTGAGAGAGCAGGCCCCTGGAACTGTGTGTTTAGGAGTGGAGCGGCTGGAGTGGCCGGGCTAAGAGGAGGAGATGGTGGTGTGGGCAGGGGGTGGGCAATGCTGGCCTCAGAAGCCAGGCTGAAGACTGGGATGTTATTTCCAGGGCCATGGGAAGCCAAGGAAGATGTGTGAGCAGTGGAGGGGTACTGTGTTGTAAGATTCCTCTGGAGTGAGCCTGGTGTCTAGAGATGGGGAACCTGGGGAGGAAGCCAGAGTCCCAGAGGAGGAGGGGGGCCTGAATCAGACCTAAGGGGCAGTAACAAAAGTAGATTAAGGAGGAGATTAAGGGCTGGCGAGGGTCTCAGCCTCACCGGGGTCCTGGCATCAGGCCCACCAGGTTCAAATCCATTCCGGACCCTGGCTCACAATGCAACCTGAACCACTCTGTGCCTCAGTTTCCACATCTGTAAAATGGGATAAATGCTAGAGCCTTCTCCCTGACTGTGGGAAGCGGAAGTCCACGCCCCCACGATTTCCCCTCTCCTCAAACTCTGCCCCTCTACATCTTCAAGCTCAGAGGAATTCACCAAAGGTTTTGAACTGAGACTTTATAGAAAGTTGCAAATCTTTGATCCAACACACCCAAAGGTACACACTCCGCACAGAAAAATTACAAAGCACGACTCTGGGGTACTGTGTGTGTTTTTCCCCTTTAGATTGGTAAAACTTCAAAAGCGTGATAATGTTTGGTGCTGGAGGGGCTGTGGGGACAGTGGCAGCCCCGTGCCCTGCTGCAGGAGCATCTGGGGCCCTGTCCCAGTGGAAGGCACAATGACACAGGCCACCAGAGTTACAAATACTTGTGCCTGCTGACCCAGCAGCCCAGTTCTGGGACACTCCTGAATAACTTGATGTTAACAAAGTGACAAAGGCAGCAGTGAATGAACGTACAGTGTAATGTTACTCAGCCATAGAAAGGGACGAAGCCCTTACACGCGCTACATCATGGATGAACTTTGAAAACAACACTGAGCGAGAGAAGCCAGACACAAAAGACCACATAGCCTGTGACTCCATTGATAGGAAACGTCCAGAACAGGCAAATCCATGAGGACAGAAAGTGTGACTAGTGGTTGCCGGGGCTGGAGAAGAGCCGGGGGGGAGGGTCTGCTCCTGGGGACGGGGTTTCCAGTTGGGACAATAGAAATGTTCTGGAACTAGATGTTGGTGGTACTTGCGAAACACTGGATTATTCACTATAACATGGCTAAAATGGTAAATTTTATGTTAAGTGTCTTTTGCACCATTTAAAAAGAGGGAAGGCAAAAAGGACAGCTAAGAGATGATTCACTGTAACATTGTTGTAATGGGGGTTGGGGTGGGGGAGGAAGCAACCTAAGGGGTTGGGTAGGTGAAAAACGGCTCATCCATTGGGGGGGGGCGTGTCTCAGAGTCATTAAAACAAAACGATAGTGCTCTATGAACTGATAAGGAAAGACTCATTTATCTTTTTCCACAAACCTTTATGAAGCACCTACTGTGTGCCAGGCACACAGTTTTTGTCTGAACAAAACAGACAAAAAGCCTTGTCCTCGTGAGCTTCTTGTAGCCGTTGGAGAGACCAGCGACGTGCAGGATCTACCGGGAAAATAGGGGACAGGTAGAAGAAGCCATGAAGAGGAAAGTAAAAGTGAGAAGCAAGCTGGGAAGGTGGTAATTCTTTTTTATTTATTTATTTTTTTAAGATTTTATTTATTTAGGGACGCCTGGGTGTCTCAGTTGGTTAACCATCTGCCCTCAACTCAGGTCATGATCCCAGGGTCCTGGGATGGAGCCCCAGTCGATCTGTTTCTCCCTTTCACTCTCCCTCTGGGCTCTTCCTCTTTCTCAAATAAATAAAATCTTTTTTTTTTTTAAGATTTTATTTATTTATTTGACAGACAGAGATCACAGGTAGGCAGAGAGGCAGGCAGAGAGAGAGGAAGGGAAACGGGCTCCCTGCCGAGCAGAGAGCCCGATATGGGGCTCGATCCCAGGACCCTGGGATCATGACCTGAGCTGAAGGCAGAGGCTTTAACCCACTGAGCCACCCAGGCGCCCTCAAATAAATAAAATCTTAAAAAAGGGGGGGGCAAAAAATAAACTCCCAGATTTCAATTGGCTAAAGAAACCTTGGATGAAACCGGAAAAACGAATATTCATGCTTCCCTCTTAGCAGCAGGCAGATGGCGGGGAGAACATCACCCCCTGTGTTTTTTAATTACAGCACTGAACTCAGCCAACAAGCACACATAAAGACACTTGGGCTTTTGGGATAAGAGGGACAGAGAGGCAGCAGCCCGCCTCAGGCCTGGGTGTGGGTGGATGTCCCCCACATCCCACACCCTGGGTGGAGTAGGCAGCAACCAGCACTAAGGCCTCTTAGAAGAGGAAGAAATGAGGAAATGAGGAAGTGCCGGCACAGGGGTTCTGTGGGGTGGCGGAGGGAGGCAGGCTTGGGGCCTGCGATAGTGGGTTCTAGAGGTGGGTGAGGGGGACCTATGGGACCTGGAGTCTAGAACACTTAGAGGGGTCTGAAGTTCGGGAGGCCTAGGTCCTGGGATTTGGGGGTCTCGAAATTCCTGGCATATAGGGTGGTCCTGGGTTCTGGAGCATGCCAGCCGTCTGATGAGCCTGGGGCCTGGGTCCTTTTGCTGCTGCCCTAGCAGGTCATGGCCAGGCTATGGGAAGCACGGCAGCTATGGGCTCCACTGCCTGAGGGGGACCAGAAGCTTCCAGAGGGCACATCTCCATACTCCGCCTCCTCCCCGCCTGACATGCCCTGAGCCTGGGTCTGAAACAAAGCCTGAGGGCCAGGAAGGGCCAGTCTCTCAGCATGGAGACTTCCAGAGGTCCTTAGGAACCCCTAGAGACCTTCAGAAATCCCCAGAGACACCTAGAACAGCTCAGAATCCCCAAGACACCAGGGTACTCCGAGACCTTTAGAGATCTTCAGAGACCCCCCAAAATAGCCAGGAAAACACAGAGACCTCCCACAAAGACAGAGTTTCTGGGGATAACCCACATCTAGGGCCACCAATCCATGCCCCCTTCAATTTAGCCATATTTGCCCCACACCCTCTGACCCCCATGTACCTACCTGTGCTGGGTGAGGCCTCAGCCTGGGCCCTGCCCCCAGTATGCTGGAGACTGGGCTGCTGAAGTGGGATCAAGGGTTTGCCCTCCCCCACTATCCACCTCCCATCCAGGTCCTGGACTCTCACACTTGTCCCCTTCTCTGGAGCTCTGGGGCCGCTGTCCTGCCATTTCCATTCCCCACGTGTTCAAAGTGCAGCCTTTGAATGCCAGACATCCTTCCCCAGCACCCCTGGGGGTCTGGCTGCCCTTAGGGGCCCATCTCACCTGGGGGAGGGTGGAGGGCAGGGTGCCGGACCACCCAGCCCAGCAGCGGTGGCCGCCTAGAGGCCTAGGGATCTTAAGGTGTCTCAGAGGCTCTGGAGCCAGCAGATCAGGTCCAGGGGCAGGTGTGACAACCCAGGGCTCAGCTGGGGCCGCAGAGCTGACTTAGGGGCAAACCTGGACTGTGGGCCTACTTGGCGACTGCAGATCAAGGGTGCAAACACTGCCTAAGGTCGGCTTGGCCACTTCACGGATGCATGACCCAGGACCGGTGCCTTCATCTCTCTCCGCCTCCGCTTCCTCCTCTGTAAAAGCCGGACAGTGAAAACCACCCCGTGGGGAGGCTGTGAAGGGCGGAGTAGCAGATGTGAACGCCTGGCACGGGGGACATGTGCGACTTAAGACGCAGGCTGAGTGTCTCATGGAGGAGGGGGAGGGGTACATGAGGGCCCATCGATGCACCAACATCAAATTTAGAAAGTTA